ACGACTGTATTAAAGGGACAGCAACCACTACCAAAAAAACCCAAACTAAAAAAACAAACTTTCTTCATAGGGGCTGAAAGCCCACAGAACAAAAGCGCAGGGCTGGGAAGTGTTTGCTGATGAGTCAGGACCGCAAGGTTACCTCTAAAGCCACCCGCTGGTTTGCATTCTGCGTACTGAATCTCGCACAGAGCTGCTTTATATGACCGTGTTCTGGCCACATCGTTCTGCTTTCAATATATCGGCAACTTAATTTTTACTCAAAGATAATGCCCCAATTCATTAATCCTTGGAATATACACAATAGAATTAATATTAAAAGGAATAGCAAATTCTAAAGACATGCCATTAATAAAAGTCTGAAAAGCAGGATGGTTTTTTATGGAGTATTTCTTTAGTGGAGTTCTACTTTTTCCAGCAGGCAGTGTAGTTTATCTGGCATAATTTTGATCGAATATTTTTATAAAATCATTTGTTCTAATCTAAGCATTTATCATTATATGCAAAGAGATTTCTTGATGAGAATATTATAGACAGTGCATGTTTTTGACATTAGCATTTTATTTGGATGACTAATCTTGCAGATGTGAAATTTTAATGAATTATTCATGACCTTGCTTTGCTCTGAAATTTTAGTTTGCTCTTAATGCCAGTTATTAAACATTTTGTTTTCTTTTATAAAATCTGATGAAGAAAAAACAAGGGTGTGCGCTTCCCTGAGAGAATAGGCAGGTTTCTTGTTTGTTTTGTGCTCCCCTCCCCGTGTCCCACCCCTGGCCTCTAAGTGGACACTTGCACTTTGAAATTCTGAGCTCTCCCCAGCCCTCTGTCAGGACGCGAGCTTTTCGTTAAGCCTGATTTTAATTCTGCATCAGAAGCAGCTGGTGATAAACCTAATACATATGCCTAACAGTATCAGCAGGTCAGGCGGGGAAAGAAACTTCAGCTGTGGGGACTGACACTACCAGTGTGAACCACCAGCATTTTTACTGCATCCGAGAATGGCAGAGTCAGTAATGAGCACCGACTACACAGCGTTTCTACATTGTCTGTGCCCACAGACACGGAATGATGGAATGACGGTTGATGTCAAGGAATGAGTTTCTTTGATGCCTCATCAAAACAAAAGGGCCTAGTTACTGGCAGCACATCTACACCAAACGCCATGCTCCCAGTCCAGGCTGTCCCAACTGCCCTCCAGTCTTATGGGTAAGCAGAGTTGTATGAATCACACTTGGCCTGAGGGATGCCTGGAGAATTCACAATCTCGACTCTCAGGAAAACAAAACAAAAAAGGCAAGATCAGTTTTGAAAGCACCCCCCCCCCCCTTCTCCAGAAGGTTTGCCATTACCGCAGAGGTCACCCAAAGGAGCCCAAATCCTGCGTGTGTCCTTCCTGATTCCACTCTGGAATGTGAAGAACAGAACAGTTCTAAATGTCTCTCTCATGGAAACAACTGGCTAGTGATTTGCACTTATTTTAGGTTAGGAATCCAAAGGGGTTTCACTAAGTTGGGCAGAATGCAGGGGGTCACGTTAGAACTGCCCGGAGGTGGCAGAGCCGGTGGTTACTCTGCATTAACATGGCGATTTCACTGCACTGTGGGCCCAAGGGAGCAACCTAACTCGTTTTACACACGAATGGGTCGGCACTTGGGGACGGATCCTCATTCCTGATGGTGTGCTCCCCTGGCGCACGGGACTGCCTCCCCTCATCTATGCTTTTGAGTTTAGAAAGAAAAAGGGGTAACAAATTATCCCGTACATCTTGGCACCTTGTATTAGTATTTTCTTTTTTAATAGAAAAGTTCCAACTCTTTGTCAACCCCGTTATTAATCACTACTTCACTCATCAACCGTGAAAGCATGACCCTGGAATTGCATCATGGGAAATATCTCCTGCAGCAGAAAACATTTTTAAAAGACCATTTTCCCACCCCTCCCTTCCCCTCTTTTCACATGTCTGAACTTGTTTAAGATAGCCAGGACGGCAGTGGAGAGGCTAACACAACGGGACTGGGATGCAATGGAAAACTGCTTACCGCGAGCACATACACACAACCTGTACAAATGCTCTGGTCCAGGAGAACAGGGAAAAATAAACCTGTCAATGATGTTACAAGTGGAAAGCAAAGTTAAAAAGGTGAAAAGAAAGAAAACATATTTAGGGAGCTTCTCCCTCGCCCACATCAGGAAATGTCACCCAGTACTCTTTCAGCAAGAATATGAAATAAACTACACGTGTGGCTCACTCTGAAATTCTACCTCATACAGTAGCTGGCTTTTAGTTAGTTTGCTTTCAATGCTATTTTCCCCCTCTTTTAGTATCATTAATATAAAGCAGTTGCACAAAAAAGCAAAGGTGTTTTGACAAACAGGTGTATGCATTTATTCCTTTTTAGGAACAATATCTAAAAAAAGGTCCACCCTCTTCCCTCCCCCAAATAGACAAAGATTCACACAGACACATCGGGATATATGTACAACAGAATAAACCCCGTCCTAAAGAAGCAACTGGAATACCCCAGGGGATACAGAATCAGAATTGTCAAAATCATAGTGAAGTTTGCTTGCTGTAAAGCCTGAGAATTCTTTTTTTTTTTTTCTTTTTTCTTCAGTTGGTTCTTCTGCTAGGCTGTGACACCTGCAAAGAGATGGACAATCTAATTTTTTTCCCTTTTTCTGCTACAGTCTTTAGACTAAGCATGCAAGACATACGACTAAGTGCAACTGAGTGAAATGTATTTTTTTTTATTTTAATCATTCCCAAAAGGTTTGAACTGAGGTATGCGTACTAACAGTTTCTCATGCTGTTATCTTTACTCATGTCTAGCTACACATGCTGAGAATGAACTAATCTACCAGATTTTTATCCTCTTTTGAATACCAAACTAACCAGCAACCACTCAGTTTAGAAGCACAGGGCCCCCCTTCCCATGACCCTGTCTGGCTACTGCCTGCGCATCATGGAGCTGCCTGGATAAACGGGGGCAAGTCTTGAATGAGCACAGACTGCCCTTTATACAGAAACGGAGTGAAGCTTCCAGAGGAACTGCCAACGTCATTGGTACCAAGCTTCTGAGTGGACGGGAGTGTTACTTTCCACCACCACCACCCCTTCATTTTTCTCTAATGAACATGGCTGACCGGAGCCTTATTAGGGAGGGGATAAAAAAATGGAAAAGAAAAAGTATTAAACACACACACACACACACACCGAAAACCGGAGGGCATATGGCGAGATAAATTGGAATGAAGGCAGTGATCCCATCCCTGTCCTTGAACATAAGTGGCGTACTACCTTGTGAACAAGACAGCCATCCCAGCAGCACTCTTCTGTGCCCTAGTTCCAGCGTTCTCGCTGATTTCAGCCATCTCCTTGACTGATAGCCTAATTGTCAGGGGCATGTATTCACTTTTTCTTTTTGAAATGGAACCCCTTTCTTCTAAAGCATCCTGTAATACTGTGTCCTACTTGTATCTTCAGTATACCTACAGTTTCTCTTTACAACAATGAGTTTTGGTCTATGTAGAGGTACAGGAAGGGGTTGGGGCTTGGGGGAGATGATGAGAAAGACCAAAGGGGGTGGGGAGTAACAACTTTGGTTCCATTAACTACTTGGTCTTCTAAACTTAAGTCTATGGTGAAGGAGCAGTTCTTTCTCAGGTTAGCAATAGCCTATATCTTGTCAGTTGCCTGTAAATTCTTTTGCCTCCTTTGATCAACAATAAGAGGATATTTGGCTTCATCAGATAAAGCATAAAACAGAGAACATAATTTACCTTTGTGTAATATCTTTGGTAATTTTAGGAAGAAAAATAAAAGAATATAAATTAAGCTCCTAGAAGCTTTCAGTCTAAAAGAAAAATGAAAGCTTACAAGCCTAGATAAATAGAGGAGCGGCACGAGCCTGGTGCAGACAGAAGTGTGCAGAGAGGTTGTGCGGACTGATGCGTCCTGCCCTAGCACCGTCTCATGCTGTAAGCCGCTGCTTGCCAATGAGCCCAGGGCCAGAGTTAGCCTTCGACTGTGAGTTTCTGATGCTGGGTTGGGTCTGCTAGTATTGCGCAACAAACTGAACTGCAGGTCAGAAGTTACACACTAGAAACCAACACTTCAGCATGTGCTGAACTCAGTCCTCATTAAAGCCTGTAACAAGTTCCATCTGAAATCTAATTTGCATTCAGACAGATTAATACCACCAAGCAGGACTGAACAGATGTTTAAATTCAGCGCCACCACTACTTACAGCAAAGTTCCTCAGGGAAGCCAGCAGTCTGGCCAGGTCGCCAGCAAAGCAACTTATGCCCGCTCGGAAAAGGCAGCCTGCAGCCCGGGGCCACACGGCTCTGCCCGGGAGAGCCGCCCCCCGCCATGTGGTCAGTCTGCTCATCTGGAGAGGGAAAGCCAGACAAACCTTGTCCTCCTCCTCCGGGTGCTGCCTAGCTTCCCTGGTGCTGGTCAAATGCTATGGCAATTTATTAAGAATGATGGTTGCTGCCCAAAAAACCAAAAAACAAAACAAATCTAAAACACCCCTTTGCCCTCCCGTCCCCAATACTGCTTTGTGGAATGGGTCTGCATGGCTTCGAGCGCACGCGCGCTCGCTTTCTTTGTCTGTCAGTCATTCTCTTTCTGGCCGGACGTCACATCTGTGTGAAACGACTTCATGTGTAGAGTGCAGCATCTGGGACTTTTTTTTTTTTTTTTGAAAAAGACCAAACTGGAATGCTTTCTGACTTGAGAGAAAACAGTGGTGATGTCTGAGGGAAAATGGAATGAGTGACAGAAAACTACGAACGAGAAATGACATTCGGCTTTGTATAATAAAAACACCTATTAACATTCATCACAAGGTACAGAAAACTTGAAACCTCCAAGAGGCCGTGGGCCCAAATGGAGGCCTGAGGTCAGAACTTAAAATGGTATAGTAGAAGCCAAAAAAAAAAAGCAATACATTAAAAATTTTGGGATAATTATTTGTAACCCCTCCCCCCAATACACACACAAAGGCCTTCCCCACCCCAACTGGAAGCAAAAAACAAAACAAAAAAACCATAGGAGTAAAGGCAGTGATAATCAACATGCAGTACTGTGCAAATAGGTCGTCCATTGGAATCCTTAAATTCTGGGCAAAGGCTTGGTCTGCAGCGTAGGGATGCGTACATGCTCCGTCGGTGTCCCAGTGTCCAACACTGGCAGGACTGCAGTTCAGAGTCTGCTGCTAGAAGTGAAGCAGTTGAACAAATTTACAACACTGATGATGACTGTTAAGAGAGGAAAATCCCAAGTACCAAACAAGTCCATCCAATGCACAGAGTACAAATTCCTTTTTTCAACAAAAAGTAGAAAAATCAAAAATACTCCCAAATGGGATTCTTGATGGCACTAAGAGTTAACACATTTCAGAGTTGTCAAATTGTAGTGAACATCCTCCAGCCTGTACAACAAACGGAGAACGGTTTCACTGCGAGCTTTTGACGGGTCATGTTTGTTTGTTTGCTTTCCCCCAATCTTCACTCTTGTGGGGTCAGCCGCCTAGCCCCTCACTCCATGTCCTCATGTACTGGTTCGTCCTCATAATCTCTATCGTGGTCAAAATCTGGACTGTGGTTGGCTGTTGTCACTAAGGATAGTGGCCCTTCTGCCTCTTCCGGATCCAGGGGCTCCTCTTTAACGTGTACAGGGTGCCTGCAAGAGAGAAAACGAGGTCAGGGACCGACGGCCTGACACAGAACAAGGCTGGCTGTCTCTGGGCAACGGACACAGCAGCCACACCCAGGGACTGCACCGTGTGCCCGGTGCTCCACGCTGGCAAACACGACAGGAAGATTTAAAACTCAGCTCCTCAGTTGCCCACCGGACACATGTGCTTAGTGTCCTGCACACTGGACAGCGGTCAGCACAGAAACAGAGTATTTCCATGACAGGGCATTGCTGTTCTGGGAAGAAGCAGCCCGCTCTGCACAGCGGGGATTCTCACACTGGCGCGTGAGCGCCCGGCAAGCACCCTGGTACAACGCCAAGGGTGACTCAGCAGGTCGCCTGGCTCACAAGCTCCTAGGTGGTGCTGATGGTCCTAGGACAAAGGTTCCACACAGTGGCCTCTCTGGTGGCTGGATTCAAACCCTCGGGTCATTACATGAAGTAAGGCTCTGAGATGCAACGTTGGGCTGAGGGGCTGCTGAGCACAGGAGGCTGGGCTAATCACGGCTTGCTGCGTGTGCGGCTTTGCTCGTTAACATGCAGAACCTGTGAAAGAACTCTCTGGAGGACGACCCCAAGCGAGGGTCTATCATTAATCAACTTCAAGCAAACACAGCAAAGAGACACCATGATACATGCTTGAAACGCCAAATTAATGCATATTTTTACAAACTGTCAATAAGGCAAGAAAAGCCCTGCCAGGAAACACAAACGGAGAGGAAAAGGCGCGCTCCACACAACAATACGATAAGAAAGCAGAGCTCCTCTCCGAATAATAACGCTGTCAGCTGTAAACAAGGCAAACACGAGGCCCGGCTGGTCGCAGCCGCCCGGCTGCGTGCGGCCGTGATGAGATCTGCCAACTCTCTCATTATGGTTCACTCGGAGGGGATGGTGCGTGATCACGCGAAACCTCTCTGATAACAATTGAGAAATGTTGTTCGTAAATCATATTTACAACCAATCCTTTGCAAATACAAATTACTTTTTGTTGCAGGGCTTTTGATATGTAAAAGAACCACTCATGTTTAAAAAAAAATCAGTCCCATCACTAGGACAGGCTGCAGAGGGAGGACTTTTAAAACTGACATTATCAAGCATTAGTACTAAGAGGCGGTGCTTGGGATGGCTGGCTTCTTAAATAATTGATGATGTATGTAAACCCCAAAGGCTGCTTGAATCATTTAAAAACAAACAGCGGAGTGCACTGGACTGCCCTGGAAGACGGGAAACTTCAGAAAACCAATTGACTCTAAAATTAGCACTATGTAGAGAGTTTGGGGGATGGATGTCAAGATAAATAGCTTTTAAAAATAATTGAGCCCATATTATTTAAAAAGTATTAATAACACTTTGCAAAATAAAATATAGCCATGCTGCAGCACCGTGCACTTCACACGTGGGCCTCGCTGCTTTTAGGCTTTGACCGTTCCTGTTTATTTGTGGTTCTATGGTAAGACCCTATATAATATGAAGGGCTGCTGGGGTGCAGAAGAGGTGGGCTCCCCTTTCAAATTTCAGGACAGCCACACAGCATTAAACCAGGGAGAGCCCTCGCAGCTGGCAGCCTACCTGGGGAAGATGCTGTGCATTCTTTTGGGGGGAAACTAGGCATGGTGTTTTTCCTTGACAAACAAACACACACGAATAACCTTAATTGAGGCCCGTGTGTCTGTGTTTGCGCCTGGCCCCTTTCACTGGGTGCCATGTTTTCCCCAGTCACTCTTTCTTAGTTAGCCAGCTTCGCGCTAAGTTTTAGTTACGGGAGACTTCATTGCTCCCGCCGCGGAGTCGGTTCTGCTCACGCTCGGACAACAGACGACGCCCCTCGCTGCCTGCTCTGTGCCACGCAAGCACACGCTACGTTGGGGCCGTTGTTGCAGCCACTGTGTCAACCTGTCTCGCCAAGTCTCCCCTTAATTCTCTGGCTGTTGTCCTTTGCCCCACTTTTGCTTTTTATAGAATACAGAGACCATTTGTACCCATTAATCTTCTTTCTTCTGTTGATTTACCTCCTTTGGATAAATTTCTGAGAATGGAATTGTTGGAGCAAAGGTCAAAACACTTTTATGGTTCTTATGATTTACTGTGGTATTAATTTCCAAGGGCAATATCAATTTAGATTCAGCCTCATCAGCACTACGTATTGTCTTTAAAAAATATTTTGTTGCTAAGCAGGTAGTAAGCTCAGGTTGCCTTAAATTGTATTTCTTGGATTCCTGACAAAAACGAACAGTTCTTTGTGTTTCGTTTTCTTATTTTCACTGTTGAGTTGCTATTTCATAAATGACCCTCTTAATTGCCACACATCCCATGGCTCTCTTGATGGTCAGTGCACAGGGTCTATGTTTCACTTAGTCCAGTATTGAGAGCCAGCATTTCCTGACTCCCATTTTAATCAGTGCTATAAGGAGCCCTGGTGGCAGAGTAGGTTATGCACTGTCCTGCTAACCAGAAGGTGAGCAGTTCGAAACCAACAGTTGCTCTGCAGGAGAAAGATGAGGCTTTCCATTTTGGAAACACACAGGGGCAGTTCCACCCTGTCCTATAGGGTGTTATCAGGTGGGATAGAATCGATGGCAATGCATGTGTGAGTTTGTTCAGTCCTACTAATCTTTTCAGGTTAACACACCTGATTTCGATGATATAAGGTGAGCTACATCCTTAAGAAAGGGGGGGTGGGGGTGGGAAGAAACTATAAGAAACTGGACAGTTTTAATCGTTTTTCCCTTAAATTTTTCAAGCATTAGCAAATGTTTTGCTCAGGAGGAAGTAAAGCAAACCATATGTAAGTCCCCGAAAAAACACAGCAGACAACATTAAAGAATATTCTATTTCTTCCTTTGAACTTGGAGACAAAATTAATAAAGATGGTTTACTAGCCCCCAAGACACAGGTCACATGACCAGCTGTGCCTGTCGGTTCCATCCCAAGGTATACTAATGTGTACAGGGGCCCCAACAATGCTTACTGACCAGGGCTCTGATGTGAGACCACCACAATACAATCAGGTTAGATACTTGGGCTTTGGAAAACTCCAGAAAACTCCTATCCCATTTCAGGGTGTTTCCTGGGACTAGCAGATACCCCAACCCTCCAGGGGGTCTGGCAAAAACAGTGCAGGCATTCAGTGCTTCAGAGAATGAAACAGCATGGATTCCCACATCAGATATATTTCAGATAAGATGCAAACTCCACCAGGTACAACGCTGTCTGCACACCCATTGAATGTCCAAGACACTGGAACTGCACATCTTCCTCCCTTGTGGACACCCTCGCACACTCCTTGCCAGTGCCTACTTCCGAAACGAAACGGACTATAGGTGAACCGTTCTGCCGAAGCACCCATTTCCCTTCTCCTTACATCTGAGTAATTCCTTTGTTTAGCCACTCTGGGAACACAAGAGTATTTAAATAAAGCTGACTGGTGGTTAAAGGCATTATGTTCTGGGGGTGCGCACAGCACGGCAGTTTGCTTTGCAGCGCCTTTAGCTACCATCAGGATAAAAATGCAATGCCCCAAAGCCATAATTACGTGACTACCTTCTAGTGTTTCAAAAGACAAAAAACTAAATGTAGTGGCATTTGCGTGTCACGGAAAGGGTAAGAATGAAGAGTTCTGTTTCAGCACCACATACTGGCGGGGCTGCCTTGCTAACAAGCTCCTTTAAACCTTGCTGGAAAGTTTAAGGCTCGAATTATTCTGATAGATGGGATCAAAATATTAAGAAAAAGAAAAGGAAAAACAAAACCCAAACAGTATGCATCACGGCAGGGGATGCCTATCTGACAAGAATGCAAACTAGGCCATTTTAAGGAATTCACTTAACGGAAGCATGGGGCCAAGGGGAGTACCTGTCAGTGGCAATGATACAACAAACACAGGGCATTTGCTGTGGACATATAATGATGTTCGGCAAACAGTGTAACTTGCGGGAGTTGAGCAACATATTGCCTGTGATTCGAAGCCTTTGTGTAGGTTTTCCTCAGAAAAGGGAAAGCAGTTGAACCGTTAGTTGCACTGAAAAATATAATGAGTGCTACAAACATTTTGGGGGATGATAGACTGGGGTTCACTCCAAGTTGTTAGCCAAAGGCAAGCAGAGTGGCTGTATTGGGTGCAGCAGTATTAGCACCACTGGGAGACCGCTGCACCTGAGGTTTTCATCCCACTCCTGTTTCCTTTCTCTTCTTAAATGATGCTTTGCACTAAGCAACCGGGAAATCTACATCAGCTAACCCTCGGAGTTCTTATAGATCATGAGAAATATTCTCTCTCCTATTCAATAACTTCAGACATTTTTGCTCAAATGAGTATTTCTTAAAGTAGCTTCTATGCCAATTTCCACTTGGTGTGAACTTCCGCAATGCCTGAGTAAATACTCCTGTCACCACAATGATCTAAAGAAGAATATGAGTGTTCTAACAATAAAGTCAGAAATACCAGGTTGCTTCAGGGAGGATGAACTACGGCATCATCCTTGTGAAAGATAAATACAGTCTCAAACGTGAGCAGCGAAGAGACTGTTCATATAAATTAAAAATGAGTATTTCCATCTTTTAAGGATCCTTTTCAAAGCACGTTGGGCATGATATTCAAATGCTAGGAAATCAAGTTTCAGATTCCCTGAACCCTCCAATTATGCTGGCAGAAAGCTTTTTTTCAATAATCTTTCCCCCTTGTTATCATTAGATGCCAATTCGTTCTGTTTCTAATTGCCACAGGTCACATGCTCCATTTCCATCACTCAGATTACCTTAAAATAGATGTTGGTCAGTAATCCAAGAATAACGTGTGGACGAGGGGCCCATTCTAGGAGCACGGCACACACTCGGGCATGTGCTAGTAAGCACCAGAGTCTGAGTATCAGTCCGTAGCACCCTCTGGGCACCCTACCAGGTGGGTTGCTGGGGCATCTTTCTCCCATTTCTAACTTTCCTGGAAGACGAGGCATTACCCACAGTCACACTGATCCCCTCACCCCACCCCCTAGCAGGGCCCTGGTGCCATTCATAGTCCACCCGGCCCGCCATCACCCGTCCCTTCTCTGTTACGTGGTGCACTCATTCCTCTGCCGCCGCCTGCTGCTAGAATGCTCTCATTTTCTTGTTAATATCTTAAGAGCACTCTATTAGTCACCTGCCCTTCCCCTGTGCTGGCGCTCCTGCCTGGTAATGATGCCTCAGCGCCACGTTCGCTGAGCCCACCACCAGGCAACCAGGCATCTTCTCTCTGATGGGTCAGTAAGTCCGAGAGCTGAACCCACAGCAAAGTTTTCCACAGACATGTATACTAATTTTAGGAGTAAAAGGAGTTTGGCTCCTGATTTGAGGAGGAGAAGAAACCAATCTAGTAAGCATGTTTCCTGTTGTCTTGGCTATATGCTACTGATGGCCTTTATAAGGAAAACCAGTACATGGGCCGCTTATGCATGAACTGAGCCAAACATTTCCAGAAGCATGAACGTCTACCTGGACTGCCGGCAGTCAGAGAAGGCAGAAAAGGTGTATAAAGCAACAAAGAAGGGCTTGTGGACATGACAGCACAGCTCTTCCAGTGGCACGGTACTCACAGGGCTTGCATAGGGGATCGGCCAGGGCTGCTGTCACTCTCGTTGCTGTTGGTATGCTCCATTGCGCCGTTCAGCTCTTCCCGCATGGCGCTGGCTAGGCTGCCCAGAGTGGGGTTTCCCATGGAGGCGGTAGTGTATAGAGGTATACTGTTCTCAGCCATCGAAGCCTGACATCAAGCAAGAGAACATTTATGAAGACAAAGGGCACGCCCAGGCAAGGAAACCGCTCATTACGGCACACACAATCATCTCCAGGTTCACTTCATTGTAGTGTGGCTGGCAACTGCAAGTGGGCACTGGTTGTAGAGGACTTTGTGTTAAGGGGAAGACTTGTAGCCCATGTCCCAAGCTTGGTTTGGAAGCCCTAGCTGTGGCAGGGACCAAATCACTGGAATAAGGAAGGATTCAATTTGACCCTTCTGGGCGGTCATGTGGTTTAGAAGAGGCTATCTAATAAGAGGTTTATGTCTGAGGCGCCCCCCACCCCCACCCCACCACACTTTTTTTTTTTCAGGAGGAACTGAATATTTCCAGATCACAGTGAAATATAATGGGATTTTCATTTCTTTATCCATTTTGATGACTCCGCTATTGGATATTCTGGCTGCACAGCTCAAACTTATGAGAACTTCCATAAACATTTACCTCGTAGAGACCCTAGAGAGTAAGACGAGATTATAGAATCGGAATGAAGTTTGATCATTCACTTCCTCATTTCCGTTCTAATCGGCTTTGAATCTGTTTAGTCACTTGGGAGGACTGATGGAAGGAGAGCCATGCACCTTTCTGATTCAGACCATTCTCTGGGAATTTTAGGACTGAAGAGAAAAATCCTGGGTAAAAGGAAGGTTGAAATCTAATTTCTTCTTGGTATTTCATATTTCCCTATTGGAGGTGACAAAGTCACTCTATATGGATGTCAGCAAAAGACGTGTGAAAGTGGGGGATGGGGTCCCAGACAATCCTAAACACTGGGGGTGGGACATGCACTCCCCGGCTTACTACATTTAAATGAACTGGCCACCCATTCTGAAATGCAGAAAATACTCAAGAACATGACTGGATTCAAGCAACAATGCTGACTTCCTTTGGGTAGTAATTATAACCCAGTGCCTTTCCATTTCATTTAAGAGGCCAGACTTTTCACAAACTGGCAGCTGTAATTAGACCAAGATTTATCAAAACTGTCCTCATGCAGACTACACTGTGCCTGGCTTTCCATCTTAATGAGAAAAAAGGGCAATCACAAGACAATCTGGCATGGCGACTTCAGTTGGCCAGTCATATGAGAGTCCAAAATATTCTAGAAATCCTGGCTCTACAGAAAAAAGTAGGCGCCAAGAGTGAAGACAGAAAGGTCACACAGCTAGCATGCAGGGATCTGCCTGTTGCAACAGTTGTAGTCTCGCAGTACAAATCTCACAGCCAGAATGCCTTCCAGCCACAAGCTGGAAGGAAACCCTACGTGCACTCACCTAACAGTGCTGGTGAAGGAACTCTTGCTAGCCCACTGCTTTTCCCTTCCCTCCGATTCTGAATTTGTCATTGATCTTCTTCTCCAAAAAGACCAGGTCTCCTCGCGGGAAGAGGGATGGTCTCGGGAGCCCACAGGGCCAGTTCTGCTCTGTACTGTGGGGTCGCTATGGCTGTGAGTGTGTTTTTTGTTTTTTCACAATGAGGAACACCAACTCAACTTTCAGATGTGGTGGACTCACTCTGAGCACTCACTACCTCCTGACAGCTCAACCCTGATTTGCATGAAGTGCCTCCACCCACCCAGGCCCCTCCCCCACCACACACAGACCACTCATGATTGCTATAAAGCCTTTTTATTCTGTTCTTTTTTTCCTTGGGCAGATCAATATAAAAGAAGTTGCTAGAATTATTTTCATTGCAAACTGAAGCTGGGCCAGCATCTTTGTTACTGGTGTCTGAGACAGCGCTATAATCACACTTCTGCAGTTAAGGAAGTTCAGCCAGGACAGTAGTTCTCAACCTTCCTCTAATACAGCTCCTCATGTTGTGGTGACCCCTCACCAACCATAAAATTCTTTTCATTCCTACTTCATAACTATAATTTTGCTATTGTTATGAATCAGGTGACCACTGTAAAAGGGTCGTTCGACCTCCCAAAGGGGTTGCGACCCACAGGTTGAGAAGCGCTGAGCTAGGAGAATCAAACCCAAGCTCTTTCTATTAGGAATTTCACAAGATAACTTTACGATTACATGGTAACAATGTGGGCCCCCCCGCCCCCCGAATTGGGACCATCTTTAGCTTGGTTTTCTATAAGCTTCTCAAGCCAAAAACTGAAATGTACCTAAGACTGTGTCCTGAACATGCTCGATTTCTAGCTTCCTAGGTCAGAATCCTCCCTGATAGGGATACACCAAGCCCACCGCCACTGAGTTACTTCTGACTCCTGGTGACTGCACAACAGGTAGAACTGCCGTTCTGAGGCTTCTGCCACCATCTGCCTTTAATAGGAGCAGAAAGCCCCATCTTTCGCCTTCAGACTGGCTAGTAGGTTCAAACCGCTGACCTTGCAGTTAGCACCTGAACGTGTAACCAACCTACTGTGCCCCACCAGGGCTCCCCCTTTCTGACAGGGTCAGAATCAGGAAGCACGGCAGTCGTGGGGGTGGCAGGCTCCAACAGGCCAGGATTTACACCTGCCCTGAAAGACGGCATTGGTCTCCGCGTGTCAAACAAGGACGATGCAAATGAAGAAATGCCAGCTTTCCTCCTTTGGGTTTTACGCAACTGCCCCCGAGTGGATCCAGCTCACGCTCACACCACGTGCAGAACTGTGCTCCACGGACAGGCCTAGGTGGGGTCCTCCTGATGGTCACTGGTTTGGACTGGACATGTGACAGAGTCACATGGAAGCTCTTTGTTGAATGATCAAACCACCCCACCTAAGGCTAGAAAAATGCTCATCACCCATGTATGCCTCACAAAGTGGTTCGTTCTTTGTAGCTGATGTCCACTTAGAAGTAACGATTTTTATAATGTACTTAATTATACATAAATGGTGCTATGCACAGTAGGAGGCATCTTAGAACCCATCCCTTCCTC